ACCATGTTTAAAGTAAATGGTGTCATATTTTGCATCCTTTTATTTTGTGAATTCCTGGACTGATTTTTTAGAGACAAACTTGTTCTTACTGCTTTTGTGTGCTCTACTTTTCATACTTTGACTTATAGCCTTTTCTTTCCATTCAAAGCATCTCTTTTAATACTTCTTGCAGGGCTGGGATGACTGCATGGCTCAGTGGTTAAGTGTCTGACTCTTGATTTCGGCTCAGGTCATGATCTCAGGGTCATAAGATTGAGCCCCATGCAGGCTCTGTGTTCAGTGGGGAGTCTGCTTGAGGTTCTCTCTCTCCCTGTCCCCCTCAAATAAATAAATCTTAAAAAAAAAAACCATCCCACATTACTTCCAGGGCTGGTTTAGTGATCATGAACTCCTTCAGTTTTTGTTTGAGAAACTTTCTCTCTCTCCTTTGATTCTGAATGATAGTCTTGCTGGATAAAGTATTCTTGGCTGTAGATTTTTCCCTTTTAGCACTTTTATAGATCATGTCACTCTTTTCTGGCCTGCAAAGTTTATGCTGAAAAATCCACTTATAGCCTTATGGAGTTTCCTTTGTATATAACTTTTCTCTTGCTCCTTTTAAAATGTTTATCAGTATTTCCCCCCCCATTTTAATAAGTATGTTTCTTGTGTGGACTTCCTTTGGTTGATTTGGTGGAGCAGGGAGTGCTTTTCTGTGTCTCCTAGACCTGGATCTATTTCTTGCCTCAGATTCAGGAAGTTTTCAGCTATTATTTCTTCAAATAAATGCTCTACCCCTTTCCTCTCTGTGATCCCTATAATGTGAATGTTATTATGCTTGAGGGAGTCACTTAATTTCCTAAGTCTATCCTTACTTTGTATAATTCTTTTTTCCTCTCATTTGTTCAGCTTAACTCTTCTAGCTCATTAATTCATTCCTTTGTCTCTCCTAGCCTGCTATTATCCATCTAGTGTATTTTAAATTTCATTTATTGAGTTCTTCATCTCTGATTGATTCCTTTTTATGTTTTCTCTTTGTTAAGGTCACTGATGTCCTCCACTCTTTTCTCAAGTCCAGTGAGTATCTTTCTGATCATTACTTTAAACTCCCTATCAGGCATGTTACTTAGATCCATTTTACTTAGGTCTCCTGCTGTGGTTTTGTCCTGTTCTTTCATTTGTGATATAGTCCTCTTTCTCCTCATTTTGTCTAACTCTCTGTGTCGGTTGCTGTATGTCAGCAGTGTCAGTTTTGTCTCTTCCTCTTGAAACTAGTGAGTGGGCGGAAGTGCAGTTTTAGCTAGGCAGTGCTTGTCTTCTCTGCAGGCGAAGTGCAGCCACCTTGGAGGCTGATGTCATGTTGGTTTCCAAAGGTGGCTGTGTGTCTATGATGGGGGGCTGGGGAAGGAAATGTCACCTGCCAGCCCCTTCGTTCATGGAGAGGTCCCTCAGGGAACTCTGAGATTATTAACCAATTTTCCCTCACATGAGCCTTTGGTGCCTTTCAAACTGCTGCTTCTATTCAGAGATGCAGGTTGTTTGTTGTGCTGTCTCCTTATAGGTGGGGACTCAGCTGCTTGTTGCCCTCTGGGCTCTCTCAGAGCAGAGCCCACTAATTCATAAGGTTCAGTGGCTTTATGGCCCACTGGTTGTAAGCACTTACAAAATTTGGCTCCTCTGGTTTTCAAAGTCAAATGCTATGGGGATTTCTCTACCCCTTGCAGGCTCCCTGGTATTATAGACTATTTCTTGCCTCTCTCTGCACCCATGGCTCTCCCCTCTGGCGGCCAGACCCACAGGGCTTAGGTTCCCTCTGCGCTCTCACCCTTCCTACCCTCTTCAATGTGATCTCTTCTCTGCATTTAGTGGCGGAGTTTGTTGGGCAAGTCTTTGGGGTCTTTTGTGGGTGTTTGCTCTGATGTGTTACCTAGTTGTATCCATGGGACAAAGTGAGTTTAGAGTCCTCTTTCTCTGGCATCTTCCCAGAAAGTCTCTCATCAAGTGCATTTTTAGTTTCACTTACTATGTTTTATCTTTGATTGGTTCTTTTTTTTTTTATCTCTTGGTGAAGGGTCTCACTGATGTCCTCCACTTTTCCCCCCAGTCCAGTGAGTGTCTTTATTATCATTAAATTTCTTATCAGACACATCACTTATCTCCATTTTGTTTAGCTCTCTTGATGTGATTTTGCCCTGTTCTTTCTTGTGGAACATACTCCTCTTTCTCCTCATTTTGCCTAACATTCTGTGTCTTATTTTCTATTAGCAAAGTGAGCTATGTTTCTTGCTGTTGAAAGTAGTGGCCTTGGGGTGCCTGGGTGCCTCAGTTGGCTAAGTATCTGTCTTTGGCTTAGGTCATGATCCTGGAGTCCTGGGATTGAGCCCTGTGTTGAGATCCATGCTCAGTGGGAAATCTGCTTCTCCCTTTCCCCTCCCCTCCTGATTTGTGTTCTTTCTCAAAAAAAAAAAAAAAAAAGAAAAAACAAGAAAAAAGAAAAATAAAACCTTAAAAAAAAGTAAGTAATGGCCTGCAGAACTGTGTCCCCTATTGACCAGAACTTGGTGCCTCAGGGGTGTCTCCTCGGTGTGATGCAAGTGCCCTATTGTGGCTGAGCCACATCTGCCTTCAGTTCAGTCGTCTGCAGTGGCTGTTTGACTGCTATGGGCAGGGTTTGGTCCCTGTGTTAGCAGGCCAGTCTGGGGCCACCTTGGGCTTTAGGTGAGTCAGACTATGCATTTGCTAGAGATGTAGCAGCACTCAACTGTAGACCACTTTCCTTGTGCTGTCTCCTGAGTAGCCTTCATTGGTAGGTGGACTGTTCTGCAATCAGACAAGATTTCTTCCCAGCCCCCACCAACTGCTCTGGTCCGTTGGACTGGTTTGCATGGTCAGCTGTCTCTTGCCCTGAGCAAGGAGTCGTTTGGAGTGGTCCTGGCCCCTGGCAGGCAGTTAGTTTGGATGGGCTCTGGTCAAGAGGGTGTCAGGGGTGAGGGGTAGATCTGCAATGCACTGGGGCTAGGGGCAGCTGGGTGGTGGTGTTAGCGAGGTTTGTGAGCAGCTGGTCCTCGGCAGGAGGGTCCTCGACCTGTGTGTGTTGAAGTGGGGGTGCAGATGTGCTGAAGTGCAGTGCTGGATGGTGAGGCAGGATGTGTGTGAGTTGGGTAGTGAATGTCAGCCCTGTGCTGGTTCCCACAGGTGGCGTGTTTATGCTGGGGAAGGGGGGGGCATGGGAGAGAAATAGTGCCTTTGTTCCTGGAGGAGTTTCTCAGTGATCTCTGTCCCTCTGGGACATGCTTTGAGATCAGTAAATCGCTCTCCCTTTCGTATACCCCAGGCCTTTTTCAGACTGTTGCTTCTATGCTCTTATCTCCATGGGCTGGTTGTTGAGCTGCCTCTTTATTTAAGGGCAGCAACACTGTTTATCGCTGCTCTCTCTTGGCTCTCCCAGAGTCGAACCTGCTGATTCTGAAAGTTGCAGATATTAAGCCCCCCTGATCATAACAACTTGGAGTTAGGCCTCTCTGGTTTTCAAAGGCACACATTTGGGGAACTCAACTTCCCAGTGCAGGTCTCCTATGTCTCGGGTGCCTGGTGTGGGGTCTGCTCCCCTCTCTCTGCCTGTGCCATCCCTCTGGCTTGCAGACAGTCCCATGGTCTGGCTCCTGCCCATGTCTCTGGCCCTCCCACCCCCTTTGATGTGGCCTCTTCTCTACATTTAGCCCCGGAGAGCCTGTTCTGTCAGTGTTCCGGTTGTGTTCTGGGTTTTTTACACTGACCTGGTGTTCCCTGTAGGTCTGTCCTTGGGACCAGGTGAGCCTATAGCCCTCCTGCTCTGCCATCTTCCCAGGAAGTCCTGAATGGGGCATGATTCAATGTGGAATTCAGGATAAGCCGCCACAACAACCTACGGCCCCCACCTCTAACCTAAAGTCACCGTCTCTAGCCTGTTGTGTTCTGGTTGTGCAGTGCCATTTGGGTCTCAGTGGCACCCTCTGCCTTTAAGGATGTTGAAGGGTGAGTTAGCAGTTATCTCTGCCATCCTGCCACCTGGGTACTCTGTCCCCATCCATGGCCTTGGGGAGCCAAATATAAACACAGCAGTGAGGCCAACCCAAGGATAGAGAACCAGTCCTAAAGACCCGAGAAGGGTTCTGGTGCAGGTTCTGACCACGAAAGCTAGAGGCTTGTATCTTCGTAACTTCAAGCCAATCACTTTACCCATTGGAGTCTCTGTATCTTTTCCTTGCAGAACGAAGGGGCCAAAATTCAGATTTTGCACAGGAACCTCTGAATTGCCATTTCTGGATGAGCAAGGATTTAAGGTACGGCTGTTTGCTATAACACAGATTCGCAAATGGGTCTACAACACATGGTTTGTGTCCTGGTCACCAGTTAGGAGGGGCTGGTCAGGTGGCCTTCCATGTGTCTATCCAGGGATCTGGCTCCTTACCTCCTTTAGATGGGGTGCTTTGTGAGGTTTCTAGGAAGAGTAGCACAGAGTGACTCATGAATGCTCCAAACCAAGATGATTCAAGACATTTGAGCTGGACGTTTTTTTGGGCTGGGTCTGCAGTTGCCCTGCGCCCCTTCCACCCACATTTCATGAGTCAGAAGGTGGCCACCCCTATGCATGAGGAAGTATGGGAAACATGGTCTAGCCTTGTGGTGAGGAGGAAAGGGAAATGTGTTTGCTACACAGCCAGCCAGCTGTTACTTTTAAAGGCAGCCCTTCCTGGCTGGCCTCTACTTACCAAAAGATCTAAAACCACCCACTTCTACAACAACCAGGGAATTGTGTGCAGGAGGGTGTTGCAATAATGTCATTGAGAGAGGACAGCAGGTTGGATTAGGCAGTATGTCCACACATCCAGGTTTCCCGAGGGGAGGCCCAGTTCATGCCTGGGGTCTGGGCAGTCCGTCCCCAAGTTGGACAGATTTTGTAATCACCTAACAGAGGAGGGGAGGGAGCACTGGATTTGGTAAAGATGCAGGACGTTGCTGAAGAGAAGCCATACAGCCACTGTTCCATAAAGACAGTATTTTTTTTTAATTTTAAAATTCTGCATCTGAAAACACAGAATGACAGAAGCATCTATATACACCTGCAGTGTTTTTGGTATGATACAGTATTTAATACATCCACTGTTTTCTGCAAAAAGTTTTGCTTTGTCAGACAGAAACAAACTCCCCTAGACAAAAAAATACAGCTAAGGCACAATTTCGTTGTTGTTTTTCTGCTAAATGAAGATACAGAAAAAGGTGCAAAAATGGGCGGGTAGTGCAATCGCTTCTGAGAATCACGGTCTACACCTCGAGGAAAAGCGTTCATATGATTGGAATTTTGATTACTGGTCAATTTCAGATAGTTCAACCTCTCTTAAAATAGTCCTTTAAATAAATAGCAAAATATCTACATCCTTCCATGTGTGCCATTGGAATTTTTTTTAAACTTTATTTACAGATTTTTTTAAATCAATACATTACAAAATAGTTCTGTACAGTTTTATGCATCTCATGATCTATAACAAAATAGTTATTTTTAAAAACTATATCACCACATGTTTTTGAAAAAAAAATGAGAGGGACAGTAATAACTTATTGTGAGGCCTCTAAAAAAAACCCCCAAAACAAACGCTACTGACAACATATTAAAAACAAAACAAAGACGGAGAGAGGACTCTCAGGACGGTTGCGCTCAATTCCAGTGAATTTCCTAGGAGAACCCTGGGTGGGGGGGGGGGTTGTCTTTGGCCTCCAACAGAACTTGGAGCAAAGGAAGTTGGGATTGTGATCCCTTTGAGAACACGACCCATCCGCTGGGAATATGGAAAGTTCTCTCCCTTTCCAGGCAGGAAAGATGGAGAGAGAGCTCGAGAGACTCTCCTGAACGACGCGCATCAAGTCACCCAGCCTGGGTGGGGAGAGGGCGGGTGGGAGAGTGGGTGCTGACGCCCCCCAGGGACCCGAGCCTCGGCAGTGTGCGCTGACAGCGTGCTGCCCGAGCTGGCTGATGGGAGCACCCAAGCCTTCGTTGCACCCAGAGGAACAACAGGAGAGTATCCTTCTCTTTCTGTCGTGGCTCCAAGCTACAGATTGGCAGCCCCTGGCTGAGGAGGTGGCCACGAGAGCTGCAGGATGCTCTTTCTTCTCAGATGTTGGTGGAAGTTGGAGGGAGAGGGCAGTCAGCTTTCCAGAAAGAATTGTAAGGCCACATTTCAAAAAGGAGAAACCTAAGGCTTTTTGGGGGGGAAAGGGTGGGGAGCAGGGGAGGAGAAGCAAGTGGGAAGGAGGGATGGAGGAGAGATGGTGTGCGGGATGGGGGTGCTAGGGGGCAGGACCTGCTTTCCTGGGGAGCTCCGGCGGGGGCAGAGGCGGCAGTTGGAGGGTTCCCAGCCAGATGGAGGGGAGATGGAGGGCGGGCCGCGGCGAGGACAGAACCAAAGACAACGTGAGGGGTAGACACACGTGGCGCATGAAAGCCCTCCTCGGTCTTAAGAGGGGTCTATACAGTATCTTGTTTGCAAACAAAACCAAACCCAAATAAACTTGAGAGAGAGAGAAACTCAGACACAGAGAGGGGGAGAGAAATTTGCATAGATTGTACATTCAGCTCGAGCACATTTGGGACACCTAATGATTTCCCCCTCCCCCAGGTAAACTTCTTAGCGGACACAATGAGGTAGCGCCTGTGGTAGACCCAAGGGCCAAGTAAGGTTACTGAGTCCGAGAGGGCATCCCGGGAGCAAGCTCAGCTCCAGCATGGCTTCCAAAACGTGTGCCAAGACGGCTGCTCAAACGTGGGACTTGTTGAGAATGGGGGTGGGCTGACACGTCCCTCCTCCCGGGACCCTGTCCTCCGCCTGGGTGGGCTCAAATTCTGGAAGCTGCGGGCCTCCTTAGGTCAGGTCTCTGAATTTTAATTTTTTTTTTAAAGCACCGTCTTGGGACCAGGACAGCCTGACAATCCAGTTCTTCTGGGACGCTTCTCTGTGGGACCATCTCTCCGGAGTGGAACGACCCGACCGGTAAGAGGTTCATGTTCCCTTCAGAGCCATCAGTGAAATGAGCTCTAATTCCTGCCCCTTCCTACTGGGGGCTCTTTGCCTCCTCCACCAGGACCCTGCCTAACCTCATCAATAAACCATCGCTCTAGACTGCAGAGGTAGCTGGCAGTGCACAGGATCAACTGTGGAATTTCTCTTGGCCCACACTCAAAACCTTGCCGACACTTGAACATCAAATTTCCTATGAAAATCTGGAAGATTCCACATGCACAATGTGCAAAGACGGGCTGCAGCCAACCGTGTGCACGCCAGCAGACCACAGTCCCCACCACGCCCTACTGGCCTATATAGTAACGTTGGTGTTTATGGTCCCTCCTGCGGAGTGGTTCTGACTGGCAGGGCTTGGCCCACAGATGTTCCTAGTGCGCTCCCCCTCGGGTGCTGGTGGGGACCTTGTGTCCTGAGTCCCTGGTGGACTCAGCTGTGTAAGGGGCCTTGGCTAAAGCCCCACATTCCACAGCTGCTTCACTCTACTCTGCACCTTCCTGGCCAAGAGATCGAGGTTCCAGCCACTGTCCTCCTTGTACCCGTAAACCAGAGCGCCAGACGCCCCTTTTGGGGGCCCGTGTTGTCTGGTTCATCCTCTGAGTGCACTGGCATTTTAAAACTTTAGCAAAGGGGGAAATGAAGCCCAAAGGGCTCCTGACCTGACCGGCAAGGTCTTTTTCCAAACGGAGGAAACGGCCTCCTTGTTAAACACAGGGTTGTGGGAGACCGTTTTGTGCGTGCCCTGGGCGGGGGGACTCCAGAAGACTGGCTGCCATCTAAGCGTCACTGGCTGGGAAATCACACAGGGTGCTACGGCCTCTTGAAGGCTTCCTTCTCCCCTGGCGGACCCCGGGCACCACCTCCTCACGTTGTTGGGTCCCAGCAGCTCTATCCCTGGGCCCTTCACCACTCACTCTTAGGCAGATAAAAAAGTTCACCTGTTACTGTGACCCCTGGGAAAAAAATCACCTTTTGTTTAGATTTTTTTTTTTCTAATCTGCCAAGTTTTTCCTTGGTCCAAAAACAAAGGTCCTTAGAGAAACACTGGGTGTGACTGCCTGGCTTCCAGAATTCCTCGGGGTGAGCAGGGAGGGGGTAGGGATCGTACCCACAGTCCACTGGCTCAGCCTTATCTCCGCTTGTTCTGGGGGTCAGGGGAGTGGGGTTCGGCAGCCCCACGCTGGACGCGGGGCCGAGCTCCGCACAGGACACTGTGGAAAACACGGGAATCCTAGCGGCCTGGAGAGGAGGATGAATAGAGTAGGAAGGTTCCTTGAGGGGGAGGTGGGGGCAAGGAGGTTGTGGCCCGGCCCTCGGGGCTCCTAGATGCTGCAGGCTCATTGAGAGATGATCTGGGCTTTCTCGGCAAGACCCCCCCCCCCGAGGTCCCTGGAGCCCCTGTTGACAGTGGCCGGCTCTCAATCTGATCACTCACCCTCTCCCCAAACTGGATCTCTCTCCCTCCTAGGCTTGGAAGGAGCCTCATTCTGTCATTTTGTCACATCCCAGGCTCTGCACGACCGGCCGAGGCTGCCACCCTGCTGGAGGAAGAGTAAGCCTCCAGTGTCCCCAGGGCACCCTGCTTTCAGCCAGCAGATGATGCTGGTGTAAGCGTTCTCTTCATGGTGGCCAACACCCCTGCCTTCCTCTGAGGACACGGAGCATGCAGAGCAGACAGGAGAGAGACAGACACGGGGAGGCAGGGGGGACCTTTAGTGAATAAAGGCAGCTTCAGTTAGTAAGAGACAACTGACAAGCTGCAGAAGCAGCACCTACTCATTAGTCATCGACTAAAACGTAACTAATAAATACCGAAACTGTCCCTCTCCAGCCTGGCCTGGCTCACAGGAATCCGGCCTGGCAGGGGCGAGAGGTTAGGAGGACAGGGCTGTAGTACCTTCACACTCATGCCCACAAGGACGGGCTCTCGGGGCAGGACAGCTTGCACCCGGGTGGGGGTGGGCTCTCCAGGGGAGCAGGGCCAGCCCTCCCAGGCACACAGCAGGGGCACAGTTCAGGTTTCTGGCAACTCAAGCACTTGGAATAACACTATGGTTTAACTGATCAGATACTCAAGCTTCCGGCGCTCTTGCTGCACATCACAGGGGCCTGCTTGCACCTCGGAGGAGGAAGGGCAGGACTTTCAAAACCAAATCTGAAATGCTTTATCCTGGATGTGAAAAGTCTGGTCCCTTCCCTACAGCACCAGGGGCGGGGGAGCGATTCACAAAGGTCTGAGTGCCCAACCTCCGCGCCCAAGGGCTCAGGCAGGTGGCGGGTATTGCTGTGTTGTCCAGCTCAGGAGTCTGCTCCCAACCATCTCTGAGTTGCATGGCCACGGTCCCGGTCTCCCGGCCTCCCGGCCCATGAATGCCTGGGAGACTTGATGCTTACACTGCTGAGCCTCATCCCATGGGGCAGTCTGGAGGAAGGGAGGCCGGCCTGGAACCCAGGATGCTTGGCAGTCACACTTTGGGGAGTCTTGGCCATGTCACATCAAAAGGCTCTCCTGCTCGTCTAGTTACTAAGGACAAGTCAACCCGACAAGGGCTGGTGAAAGGCTCAGCCAGTACCCCCCCCTCCCCTGGGGAGAAAGAGGGGAGCCCAAGGGTGGGGCTGGGAGGTCAAGCCCACTGTCTGGGCAGTGCTTTTCAAATGGGGTTTTGCAGAGCCCTTGGGTTCTGGAAAGGTCCCTCAGGGGGTGCCATTGGGCAAAGGGACCACCCTGTGGGCTGAGCTCCGAGAAAGAAGCTCACACACGTGCCCCGGCGTCAACCAGAGCAGCCACACCTTGAACGTCTACCTCCAACTGCGCTTAGTAAACAAAACTCTGCTCAAAATAAAAGTCTGAGAATCACTTGACTGGGAGATTGGGTCACAGAGAGGGGGGAAACGAGGAACCTGGAGCTCTGAGGATCAACCAGAAGAGGTAAGACCAGCATGGCACGGGGACTGAGCAGTCCTCACTCCCAGGAGCCAGCGTGCCGCACGCCGGTTGTTGGCAGGAACTGCCTTGACCTCCAAACCTTCCTTCTCCCTCAATCTGTAGCCAGGAGAGCCCCTCTCACAAAAGGCACCCCTGGGGGCTGCGGGGGTGCCAGGGTCCAGGCACCACCAGCCCTCTGGCTGCTTTCCCTTTATCTGCCATGGCCCACGTGTGCCCGCTGCTACCTGAGACGGCCATCGGGTTTGATGGCCCCCAGCTCTGACTTGGGGTCAGGGCTGAAGGAGCTCCAGGCCGTGTGGGTGCAGGTCTGCATGACCGGGCAGGCGGTGGGGCCTGTGGTGCAGATGTCCATGGCGGTCCATGTCCCGCCTACCAGGGAGTCCAGCCAGTGCTCCAGCGTGGCACCCGTAGAGCCCGCGTTCCTCCGAGCCTGCTCCACCTGGGCCGGGCTGATGGGCAGGCTGAGGACGGGGTTCAGGCTCTGGAAGCTCTGCTCCATGTAGGCGCTGCGCAGGGGCCCGTTGTGCAGCTTCAGCGCCTCCTCTGAAAATCAAAGGGAAACCATGAGATGGTCGCAAGTCACGAAGTGGGTGCCTACCATGTGCGTTGTGCTGGGCACTGTACGCCACCATGTCCTTCGCGGGACCATCTCCTGTGGTGTCGGCAGCCCCATTGCAGACGACGAAGCAGCCTGTGGGGACAGGCCTTCCATAGCATGAGCCCACTTTGTGGGCTCGTCTGTCCACTGAGCACAGGCTTACAGAGCAGCTCAACAGTCTAGACCGACTGACCATCCATCCATCCCCAGCACCTACTTGAGCAAGGCATTCATTCAACACATGCTTGCTAACCCTCTATCTGCAAGCCATTCATTCACTTATTTGGTAAAGATTAATTAAGTGCCAGGCTCCGCTCCATGCCCTGAAATGAACCAGATAAGATTACAGCCCTGTGGAGGGAGGCTGAGGACAAGAAGTAGGAAAGATCGGTTTAATCGGAGATCAGTAACACGAACAGACTACACTGGGTGCAGAGTCAGGGCGGGGGGTTGGCACGCCGAGGCCCTTGGGCCAAATCTGACCCACCCAGGTGTCAGGAATTAAGTTTCATTAGGACACAGCTATGCCTCTTTGCAGACGTGCTGTCTGTGGCTGCTTCCGTGCCACCATGGCAAGGCGGAGTAATTGAGACGGAGACCGTAGGAAGCCCACAGAGTGGGCAATATTTACTGTCTAGCCCTTTACACTAAGAGCTGGCTGCCCCTGGGGTTAGAGAGTGACAAGGATGTTTATTTTGGATGAGGAGGGCAAGGAAGGTCTCTCTGAGGTGACACCTGAGCTGAGTGCCAGTTAATGAGAACAAGGAAGCCACCTGCAGATCGTGGGAGACAGAATTCTGGGCAGAGGCAAGGCCTCATTAAATGCCTTTCTGCACATCACAGAGCTAATGAGCATCGGAGCCAAGGTTGGACTCCAGGTCTGTTGACCTCAGCTGGCTCTCTTAACAGCCCTGCCTTGCTGAGCAGCTCCTGGTGTGTGAGTGCATGGACGGCAATCAGGGTGTCTGGGTCTGAATCGCCCGGGGCTCACGTGCCTGGTGTATGGCATCGGACGTCAATGCCCGGTGCCCACTTTTCCCTGACAGATGAGTAGAGTGCCCAGTACTCTATGAGAGCTTCATGATGTCATGTGCTGACTTCTGCTAAGTGCTTAAAATGGTATCCGGTCTCACGATCCAAAGTAACTTCTACAACCCTACACCAAAAGCCCAAATAATCCAATTAGAAGTGAGAAGAAATTCAGATGGGCCAACAGACCCATGGAAAGGTGGTCAACATCACTCATCACCAGGGAACTGCAAACCAAAACCACAAGGGGGTATCCCCTCACATCTGTCAGAATGGCTGAAATAAAAAGACAGGAAACAACAAGTGTGGGCAGAGACCGTGGAGAAAAAGAAGGCCTCTGTTGCTGCTGGTGGAAGTGCAAACTGGCGTGGCCACTCTCGGGAACAATCTGCAGGTTCCTCAGAAAGTTAAAAGTAGAGCTACTCTATGATCCAACAGTTGCACTACTGGGTATTTACCCAAAGAGTAGGGAAGCACTAATTTGTAAACAGACGCGTACCCCCTATGTTGATTGTGACATTATTTCAATAGCCAAATTACAGAAGCAGCTCAAGCATCCATCCATAGATGAATGGATGAAGAGGATGCGGTGTATACAGCGGTATATACAGTGGAATAGCACTCAGTCCAAAAAAGAATGAGATCTTGCCATGTGCAACAACATGGACGGAGCGCAAGGGTATGACGCTAAGTGAAGTCAAGTCAAAGAAAGATACCGTATGATTTCATTCCTGCGGAATTTAAGAAACAAAACCAGAGGAAAACAGAAACAAACAAACAAACACCCCAGAGTCCTATGTACAGAGAACTGGTGGTTGCTGGAGGGGAGGTGGGTGGCAGGACGGGTGCAATTGGTGAGGCGGAGGAAGAGTGCGCGTACGTGCTGAGCGCTGGGGGAGCTACGGAATTGCTGAATCACGGTATTGTACACCTGAAACTATATCATACTGTACATTAATGATACTGGACTTCAAAAAACAAAAAAACCTAGGCCATATACACAAACAGGCACCTGGCACATACTAAGTGCTTGGAGAAGTTTAGTAGTTTCGCGGTTGGTGTTACTAGTACACAATCCTCGTACACACGCAAAGCCACAGGGCTGGTGTCATCACCCCCATTTTGCAGACGCCTATAGTTCGAGACAGATCCAGGGTTAAGTCCAGGACCGGCTGACTCCAAAGCCCGTTCTTATCATCATGGGACTCTACCCACAGGCTCATCCACCAACTGGAAGCTATAGAACTGGTGGTGTTTTTTGTTTTTAAATTTTCATTGGAAGCCAGTCTTTCAAAGACTCACTTTCCCCGTCTGCAAACTGGATACTCATCCTTGCACCCATGAGACCCCCAGGGCTGGCAAGAGGCTCGGGAAGAGGTTCATATGCTCTACAAACAGGAAAAGAACACATCGAGCGGGAGCCCTGACTACTTCCTCGGGCTTACAGATGGGGAAGCAGAAAGTACACACATTTGGGCTGGCGGAAAGCAGCTAGACGTTGCTATTTTGGAGGAGTTCCCTCTTATTGCCTATTTCATCGCCAAACACAAGAATAGATTTTAAACACGTACTGGCCGATGATTTTGGCGAGTTGTGTTTTAGCAAATCAGCTCTTGCCTGGATTGAGACCTCTAGGGCTCCGGGAAACGTCCTTATGTGACAGCGTGGTGTTCAGAGAACATCTCTGGTTCCCCAAAGGGGCAACCAGGAGAGCTCGGATTATCCTCACGCCGTTTCCTAATACGTACGGTCCTGAGTGGGGCTCAAGGAGGAGGCAGACAGACCACACGCCCGCCCTTCTTAGGGCAACTAGCAGAACCAACAGCCTGCCTTGACCCATGCAGACAAAGTCCTTCCCTCTGAGGATGCAGCGGGCAGCGCTCCAAGGCGCAGAAGGCAACGGCGGGAGACGGGGCACGAGCCTGCACGAACACACACCCTGTCCTGCTGTGGTTTAGCTGAGTTCCGTAGGACCTAACATGTTTATAGATCTGGCCCTCGCCCACCTCTCCCTGATGCGAACGGAGCCTGTGCCCTATGGAGCAGGTCCTGACTCAGCCATCGGGGCCTCTGAGCGCTAAGAGCTGGCAGTGGGGAGACTCCTGAGCTGACCGAAGTCTGAACACCAGGAACCACATATCGTGGCTGATGCAGAAAACCCTTATGAAAAATGAGGTTAATGTGGAAAATGCTATTACAGCACCAGCCCGTGATGCTTGCCTCTATAATTAAATTTTCCTCAATTCCACCTCATCAGATTTCTTGAGATTACCAGGGACGCATCAATAGCAAATTACTCTTGATGAATCATTTTACAAATTGCATTGTTCCCACCTTCGTGTTCCTTGTCATTGGAACATCGTTACCATATACAATTACTGACAACTGGGAGGGGTAGGGTGGGGGGGTGGCGGTTGCTCTCAGTGGGGTAAGATGACCCCCTGGCTCATCCTGGGTGGGGTTTAGGAAGAGCCTTGCTGTCATCATGAACTCCAAGGAGAAAAAAAAAACTGGAAAAATCAGAAAAAAATGCCCTCACTGTTGTCCTTCCTCCCGGCCCAGGGGTAGAGGTGGATTCAGGACTGCTCCCCTGTTCCATCTGATGGGGGTTTCTGGAACATGCAAGGAGAACGCTCTTTCTGTCCCTCCCCTCCGTGTCTGGCTTTGGGATCTTGAGGATGCTAAGGATGTGACCCTAATCAGAAGGGTACTTGAGAAGGGGATGGCTTCCCTGGGTGGCTCAGCAGTTTAGCACCTGCCTTCGGCCCAGGGTGTGATCCTGGAGTCCCGGGATTGAGTCCCATGTCGGGCTTCCTGCATGGAGCCTGCTTCTCCCTCTGCCTGTGTCTCTGCCTCTCTCTCTCTCTGTCTCTCATGAGTAAATAAATGAAATCTTAAAAAAAAAAAAGAAGGGTACTTGAGGGCCCTAAGTGGATGGGCTCTGGTCCCACTCCTCTGGAGCGGCTGTCTTTGGTCTCTCTCACAGGGGAGAGGGAGGAGCAGGCTTCCATCTCGAGAAAACACAAGGTCTCCCTGTACCTCTCTGCTTGCTCAGCACAGAAGCTTAGCAGACATCAACAGAGTTGAGTTCACTTCAACACCCCCGTTAGGATTCCAGGCACCCCGTCCCCACGTCTTTGTCCTCATCTCCTTGTGTCACTGGCTAAACGTCACCCAGCCCAGAACGCTTCTTCCCTAACAGAGGCTGTAATGCATTTTTGGCTTCTGGGTTTCTGATCTGTTAGATACAGACAAACAATTTCAAATACCAAGAGACCCAGAAACCCTGTTTCTAAGAATCTCTTTTATGGATATATCTGTATGGGCACAATTTTAGATTCAAGAATCCTCTTTGCGGTGTTATCTGCAACAGCACCACTGCCAACAATGAAAGAGGCAATGTGGTGGATTCTGGGTCCTCAGAACCCACGGGGATCTGATGCAGCAGGTAGCTTTATATATACTGACGTGAGAAGTCCAAAGAGCAAGTTTCATTACACAAAGCATCACCCCCAAAACCAGCAACATAGGACTTATGTTGTGTGTTTGTGTTTATGCTTTAGAGGCCTCCAGAAACTTCTAGGAGGATGAACACCAAAGTATTGGCAGTGTGTGAGCATGCACAAAGCATTACTAGGAGATGCTAAGCCTTTTTCCAAACCTGTTTTATCACTTTGTCGTGCCCCCACCTCAGCACTAGATGGATGGGCATTATTCTCCAACCTTCCGCCATAGGATACTACTATCTAACCTTTGAACATTTCTCAACATGGTGGTGTGAAGAGGGATCCCTTTTTGCTTTTCATTTGCATTCTTCTCATTATTCATGAAGCCGAGTGTGTGGGCCATTTATGTGCTTTTTTTTTTCTTTCTCCTTTGTAGCACGAGTTGCCAATCCCTTTTTTTATAAAGGGCCAGATAGTAAATATTTTTGGATTTGTGGGCCATGCAAACTGTGTCATAATTACTCATTGCTGCCATTGTAGTCCCTAGGAAACCATAAAAAAATATGTCAGTGAATGGGTGTGACTGTGTCCCAACAAAACTTTATTTATAAAAACAGGGAGGTGGGCCAGATTTGGCCCATGGCTTACAGTTGGCTCTCTGATGTATGCGGATTTCTTTATATATTTTAGAGGTACTTTATTTTATGTGTAGCAAATATTTTTTTCCCTATAGTGTCTTTTCTCCTAGTGTAGCAGGTTTTTGATGAACAGAATTTCCTATTTTAATTATTACTTTTAAGAAAGTAAGATTTGCTGACACTCAGGATCTGTCTGGGTTTATTTCCCATCTCGTCTTAAATATGATCAGGGCTTTCTGGAAGTCCAGTGGGAGAGTAGGTAATAATTAGATATCTAATACACAGACAGATGACATCACCTTACTGTATGGGTAGAAAATTCCCTCCTTGTGCAAGGAGAGAAAAATACAGAGCAGAGAGCATGGTTCTCCGAGGCCGCCCACATGGCCCCCATTGCCCGCCAGATCAGAGGGCCCGCCTGAGAGACCCCCTCCCCCCGCCCAGGGTAGGAATATTTTCCCTCCCAGAGACGCTGGGAGTACTCACCTGGTTTGATGGGCTGCCTGTTTGAGAAGGTCAGTGGTGCAACGAGGAATTTGGTCTCTGCAACTGGCACCCAGTGGTGAAGGATTTTCACTGTCCAGACCCCAGGCCTCAGGGGCAAGTTCAAAGGGGGCTTGTAGTGGGTGAACTCGGCAGTGGATTCGATCAGGATGTCATAGGTGGCTGCAATGATGTTGACGGGATCGACCCAGATGACGGTCACGGTGACATTGGGGCCCTTCCCCCACTTCTGCATGCCTACCGGCTCATCCATGGGCCCCAGGAGACCCCCAAAGTTGCGGAAGAGCCGCTCCTTGGCATCCCAGTCAGTGCCAACCTGAAACGAGAGAGTCCAGAAATCACTGAGCCAGAAAACAGGGCCCAGGGTCCCAGAGAGGCCTAAGATACTGCTTGTTGGGCTTCATCTACCCATTTTACAGATGAGGAAACTGAGGCTCCCAGTGGGTCACCTGCTCAAGACTGCACAACTAGTCATAAGCAGAAGACCTGGGATTTGGACCCAGTCTAAGGGATTACAGGGCTTGTGGTCTGTTCGCTAAACCCCTGGGCCTCCAGTGCCTGAGTCAGGGTTAGTGCTTTGGAAAGAAAGCACGCACCGTGCACCGACTAAATGAACGCCTGCTGGCGGGCCATCCCAAGGAGAGTGCACCCCAACACTCAGCAGGTGCAGCTGGCTTCCACTTTGGTGCTCCGTCTTCTGGATCAGGCACCTCCGTTTAGTGGTGATGTTCTGAACAAGGAGGGTCCCTCAGCCCCTCCGATCACCGCCAGGAGAGCACGTGGCTTTCTGAGGAAGACACAGCCGTGGCCTCCCCACAGCACTCCGAGCTGGGCCTGGGTGGGGGATGAGGGGAGGTGATCGTATGATCCATCCATCCATCCTTCGGTCCATCCCTCCTGCCAGCTGGCTGGTGTCCATGTGGCTCCGACTTGCCGGGGGTCCACTCTTGCTTCCCTCCCTCTGCTTTTACCGCCTGCAATGTACTCCTCAGCCAGCAGCCAGGAAGACCTGGCCAGCTGTCCCCTCGCTGCTCAGCGTCCCCGCAGCTTGTGCCACCGCGCTTCCTGGGTGCCTAGCACTGTGCCTGGCATGCAGCAGGCGCCCAGTATCTGTGGAACCAGCAAGCCAACAACTTGACACTTACGTCCCTGATCCGGAGCTCTGCTACTTCAAATCAATTTAAATGAGGGGTCTTCTGCTCCCCCAGCAGGTTTAATTTGGTGTTTTTGAAGACACAGCCTGCGGGCATGCTGGGAGCAGATAACGAGCACACCCCAAGGCTTGCCCGCTCCTGTGCTCTTTCCGTGACCCATGTCTCCGATGCGTGCATGCAGGTCGGGGTGAGACATGCCATCCGTGCAGGGCCAGCAGGGGCTTGCTGGCTTTCTCGTGGACGCCACGAGCTCCTGCTTCTATTCTTTCTCCAAGACGTGCCTTCTTTCTCCAGCCCTACCAACCTGTGCGACTCTCTCAGCTCCACGAAGGGGAGAGACCCTGTCGTTGTCCTCATTCCACAGAGGAGAGAGACGAGGCCCAGAGTGCCTAGGTCACTTGCGGTGGCCGGTGGGGGGCAGAGCTGGCGCGGGGCCCCAGCAAATCTGTCCCCAGGGGCTGTGTTCTCACCCACTCTCGTGCGTTACCTCCAGTTCACTCACTCACACGTCCATCCCATGCCTAGGTGCTCGGCCCGCCGTCGACCAGAGGTGCACAGCCCCACAGCCAGGAGCCTACAGGCTGGGACCGAGGAGCCGTCCCAAGGGAGCAGAGGTAGTGACTGCTGTGACACTTCTGCGGGGGTGGCTGGCCCTCCCAGACGGGCGATGTCTCGGCATTCCCTGCCACCCCGAGGCTCGGCTCTTCCTGGGGACCCCTGAGCCAGCACAGTGGCTGCATCACGGCAGAAAGGAAGCTGGTACGAGTCAGTGAAGAAATGAAGGAGGGAATGCATGGATTCCAGCTGGCCTCCGAGGCTTGGAGATTTCTCTAAAGAAACATGATCCTTGGGGTGCCTGGGTGGCTCAGTGGGTTAAGTGTCTGCCTGAGTGTCGGTTCAGGTCATGGTCCTGGGGTCCTGGGATGGAGCACTGCATCGGGCTCACTGCTCAGTGATGAGTCTGCTTCTCCCTCTCCCTCTGCCCCTCCCCTGCTTCTGTCAAGTAAGTGAATAAAACCTTAAAAAAAAACAAACCCAATCCTGTCACTTCCCTATGTGCAATTCTCTTCCGCACCTCAGGATTCTCAAGTCTGGTCTCTCACCCCATGCTATGAGGGCTTCACCTAAACCACTGGCCCTCCCCTCCACACCCCCCTACTCCGGGCCACTTGGATTAATCTCTGGGCCTCCAGGAGGAGGGCCCTCTGTCTCATCTCTGACCTTCCACTCATTCCTAGCTTTCTGGCTGGCACAGCCTTCCTACCCCTTCCCCACCCCTCCCACCCCTGCCAGCTTCTACTCCTCAGGTAGATCTCAGCGGAGGTCATCTCCACTTGGAAGCCTTCCCCAGCTGGAGGCAACACCAAGGTGCCTTTCTAAGGATTTGCCCATCTTGGTTTTTTTTTTTCTCTCAGTATTACAACTTTTAATTTACTTATCTCTTTCCTTATCACGACTGTCAACTCGATGAGGAGAGGGAGTGTATCTGGCTTGTTCACCAGTGTATCTCTAGATTCCAAGACAGTGCTGAGTACGTGGTGGGTGCTGAGTCTCCTTTCCTTCTTTCCCTCCTTCCTCCCTCCCTATCTCCCTTCTCCTCTCCTTTCCTTCCACCCACCCACCCACCCACCCACCCTCTATGTTGTGAACCTAAGGACATCCCTATGCACCAGGCCCTCCACACACTGGCTTTCCCACAGCTACCAACAAACGGATGAATGCTCACACAATATGTTGGGGTTCTACAGAGTAGGGCTTAGTGCCCAGTTAGGGGAGTGTGGGGACACCCCAGAACGGTATCCTTGCATTCCCCAGGGAAATCGGGATGAGCAATTCTCTGAAGTCTGAGCTCTAAAACCAAGACAACCCCGAGGGAAGATCTGTAGGGCAGCTGTGAGCATAGAGGCTGGATCTCAATTTCCAATCCTAGGAGAGGGAGCGGAAGGCTAGCTGCCACCCTCACATGCGACCAAGCTGGGGCTGCCTGAGAGGGGGCCGTGCTGCTGTCACAACTTCTAGGGCTTCAAGATCTTCTCACAGACTCACTGTGCAAGTCCATGGACACTTACAACACAATGATCACTACTCAAATTCAAGTCCATGGTCAAGTTCACCACATCGCTCAACTTCAAACCCACTAAAAATCTCTCACTGCATTGAAAATACCATCTGAGCTTTTCTCCAGGGCCTTCATGTCCCCGTCATGATCTGTCCCATCCCCTCTGACACCTTCCTTCCACTGCCCTCCCTCTCACTCACTGTGTGCTGGCCACACTGGCCTTGCTGCTCCCTCCTGGAGCCTCTGGGCCTTTGCACATGCTCTTCTCTCTGCTTGCACTGCTCCATGTCTCCCCATCACTGGCTCTTTCCAGGCTTCAGCTCTAAGGTTACCTCCTTAGAAAAGCTTCCCAAATGAATCATCCCATTGAAAGTAGTCCCCATCGGCCTCTTCAGTCCTCAGCAATGACATGAATTAAGTTTTATGTTCTTCATAATACTCGCCATTAGCTGAAATGTTTTTGTTCCTTTATTTGCTCACTTGTAGGCTGACTGCCTCACCTGACTACAGTTCCGTGCCAAAAGGAGCCTGGACTCTCCTGCCACTCCCGCACCTAGTACACCATAGCCACTTGGACTGTCTGCTGAAGGAATGAGCCTCTTTTCCGCAAGCCACCAGCATGGGACTCCCATGGGGTGGAGAAATCCATCTGATGGCTCAGCAACACTGGCAACCTGCTGTGAACCAGGCCCCGAGTGGAGTCCTGGAGCTGTGCCACCAGGAGAGGGATCCTCTGCAGTTTTCCCTTCCTTCTTGTCCCATTTGACACTTTTTGCTTTAAAAATTACTAGGACTCCAGGAAAAAAAAAAAAAAACAACACAAACTGCAAAATTCACGGCTCCCTGCATCACACGATGTTACTCTGCGAGATCTGGGTGGTTCTTATATCAAAGTTACCAGCCCTGCGGTAGGAACTCTCACAAATCACTAGCCACAGAGTGGCCAACCTCATTTGTCACTGCCAGAAGTGCCCAGTTATCCAACAGCAGGCTGATAAACAGGGAGAGCCCAGCCACCAGGCATCCATCTCGTTAATGGGACGTTAATGTCTTCAATTGGCCGCCTGGGCCCCCAGCGCAGAATCCAACTGGGGCAATGTCTAATTGCCCCCTGATGCTAGTAATTTATGGAGTCGGCTCCCATGGCAGCTTGAATCCAGCCAATCCATTCAGATCCTTAATTGAAAATGGTGGCATAACAAGAAACCCTGCTCTGTAGGGCATAGCGTGGCCAGGTGAGGCCATGGGCAGGTGGAAAGGGATCTGCATGGACAGTATAAGCAGGTGGGATACTCGCGCCACCCCCACCCCAGCCCTTCAAAATACTCTGTATTCTCAAACCAGGCTCTTCATCCCTAACCCAGCAGCCACACTCAGGGACAATACTAAACTCCAGGGATGCATTTTTAGCTACTTGCTGGGATGGGGATGGGGAAGGCAAAAATCAGGTACTGGAATTTGGGGTGGGCCAACTCTCACCCAGCTGGATTGTGTTTCCCGTCCTGCAGCGTCCCCACCAAAGTGTGTGCTCCATTCAGAAATCAGATTTGGTACCTCCGGATGCCATGTGTGTGGAATACAGTGGTGAACAAGAGGGACATGGTCCCAGCTTTTTCGTGGACAACCGAAAAGTGATCAGAGAAATCAGCAAGATGGTTTTGAATAGTAAATGCTAAGAAAATGATAAAATAGGTACATGTCAAGTGGAGAATGGACTCTTGTGGTGTAAGTGGGTGGGCAGGGAAGGCTTCTTGGAGGGTACACCATTTCGATTTAGATTAGAATGACCAAAAACAAAAACAAACAAACAAACAAAAAAACAAAACTAAACAAAACGGCAGCTAGCTATGTGAAACTGTGAGGAAAAGTATTCCAGGCAGCAGAAACAGCACCCACCAAGCCAGCAGCAAGGATAAGCTTGACCTGTGTGACAAAAACTCCAGAAGTGTGAGAGGGGAGCAGAGTGATAATGGCAGAGGCTAGACCAGATCTTCAGGTAGGGCTGATGCTACAAGGGTAGTGCTGGGCAAGAAAAGAACTAAAACTGCATCCCATGGATCCATCCACTGCTCCACCTACCCACCCATCCATCCACCCATCCATCCACTCATTCACCCACCCTCCCATCTATCCATCCTCTATCTATCCGTCCAGTCTTCTGTCCATCTATCCACCCTCCCACCCATCCACCCACTTACACACCCCTCCATCTATACATCCTCTATCCATCCGTCCAGCCTTCTGTCCATTTATCTACCCTCCCAACCATCCAACCATCCATCCACCCTCCCAGCTATCCACCCATTCATCCACTCATCCATTCAATGATTGATCTGAATTAACCCCTATGCTAGGAACTGGGGAACCAGAAACACGGAAGAATGAAATTTGTGGCCAGAGAGACGTGGGCTCAATTTGAGCTCTTTCACTTCTGAACTATGATTGAGAAAATCCTTGGCCCTCCATAGGCCTCACCTCTCCAATCTGTAAAAGGAGACTAATGCCATTCTTCATTAGGAAACTGGTCTGTTATGGTCTATTACTAATAGAGACTCAGGAGAGTCACTGGCTAGGATAAAAAATTAAGAGGAACACAGATGCTACTGTAAAAAACAGACCAGGGCTCCAGGTCATCAGTTTGGCCCACTGCTAAGGCCAACCTCCATCTCTCCCCTTCCACCCTGTTTGAGATGCGGCTCCAGTGCTTGGGGCCAGAGGATCCTCTCTGAGCCCAGAGTGTGCTATCTTCTGGGCTCTCCAAGTCCTCTTCCCCTCCATTTCCATCCCCAAGTGTCAGACTGGCAAACAGAACCCAGCAGGGCAGCTGGAAAAGACCGTGAAGTGTGCCAGTGTCTGGACTCTTACCTCAGAAAACTGGAGCCTCCCGAAGTCACTGGGTGGGCTTGCGATCTTGAAGACCTTCTTTGGCATCACCCACGTCTCCAGGGTCTCAAGTTTGCTCACAGCTAGATTCGTAGCGTGATGCTTGATCAGAAAGCCCTGGAAGCGGTCAGCAAGGAAGTAGAGGTGGACAGATGCTGGGTGGCCCATTGGGTAGTACCTGGAACATAGACACGGTCTCACGTGAGCTCAAGGGGTAGGGCCAGAGGTGTGTGATCTCGTGACAGAGTGTGCCATGAACCGTGGTGTCACCGTCCCTAAAATAGGCCCCGTTTTATTCAGTGCTGACCACGGTCCTTTGCAGCATCCTGAAAGCTGCTTCCTGTGAATCTCAGATCCCAGTAACTATGAACGATTTCTTGGCTGATTATAAATGTAAAACATGCTGACTGTACAAAAACACAATAAAGAAAATAAAAATTATTACTTTTGATGCTTCTTCCCATAGAGGATGTCAGTTCACAGATATTTATTGATCCTCTCGTTCGAGGTATTTTTGAAGGGACAATGGTGTGCAAATGAGGCCACAGTGATGTATCTCCTTCCAGCCTTATTTTCTCTGCATATATTTGCATAAATATTACATGTTTGGGATCGTAATATATATACTGGTTACATCCTACTTTTGCTTCATGTTATTTCTCAAGTTGATCAGATATCCTTGAAAAGTCTCTGACAACATGATTTTTGTGTGCGCGCACACACACACACACCACTCTGCAATGCCGTATTTCATGGAGCAAGTTCATCATTGGATGTTCAACAATTATTTATTTATTTTTTTGGCCATTCTAAGCAATGCTGTATTACACATCTCTGAACAAAAGTATTTTGGGGAACATGTCTCATCCTCCCTCATCTCCAACAGGCTCTCTGTGTCTGCTGTCCACCTTTATCAGAAAGGTTGTACTGATTTACGCCCCACTGTCCTTCTCATCAACAGCACTGGGTATTACCCTTAAAATTATTGCCCATCTGAGACACACACACACACACACACACACACACACACACACACAAATAGGTAACTTGTGAAGATACAACGTCTCACAGGCTGAAAGGGGCAGGGAAGCTAAGCAGAGATCCCCCGAGGAGGCAGGGAGCCGAGAGGGGAGGACTGGAGACAGCCCAGTTCTTTGTCCTTCATACACATGAAATAAAAGCTGCAGGCTTCTGCAGTGTGGAAGCCACACAGCACTTAGTGGGCATGTGTGGCCCCTTGGAAACAGCATCCCACTAATCCCTGTCCCCCTTGGCCTGCCTTCCCCTGGTTCCATTCAGGAGTGGGAGTCTTCATGGCCAATTACAATGGTGAGGGAAGCCACCCTCCCACGTTTACCCAGCTCCCGAAATCGCTGCCTTGTTATCATCCGGATGACCCCAGGCTCTGAGAACAAAAAGCCCAGGCTGTCTTGGGATTGCTCGCTGGGCACTCTTGGCTCACGCAAACCCACTTCGGATCCGGATGCTGGAAGCTGGCAACCCATGTGGCCTCGGACTGTGCTGCAGAACCTTCTACCATGACGGAAAGGCTTTTCCTCTGAGCTGTCCGATCCAGTAGCGAGCAGCCACTTGGGACTCCTTGGGACTCCTGAGCACTTGAAATGAGGCTGGTGTGACCGAGCAACTGAAGTTATAATTTTAGTTGATTTAAGCCTAAGTGCCTGCTTGTGGCGGGTGCGACTGTGGACCGCGTTGGTAGAGGTGTGGAAGGACGCTGTGGCGGCCTGCATTACTGGCCCTGGTTCTTCACCTCTCCCATATCCAGGCTCTCTTCCATGTGACTCTGCATGTCTCCATGCGCCACCGAGGTAGTCTCGTTCTCCTTCTTGAACCTGCTTTGGTGGCAGAATGTGGTGGAAGGGGTGCTACGCTGGTCCTGAGCCAGGGCCTCTAGAAGTCATGCACATTTCTACTTGCCTTTCTTGCTCTTTTATGACCACCATGTGAGCATGCCTGAGCTAGCCTGCTGGAGGACGAGGTGCTCGGAGCAGAGCACCCCCAGTTGTCCCAGCAGCCCTCCTAGATCTGGCGACAATTCTCTGCTGAGAACAGAGGCCCCCTCCTGACCTGCAGCTGGCTGCAGACGCAGGAGAGATACCAGCTGAGGCTAGGAAAGCTGCCCTGCTGACCCACCAACTTGAGCGCCATGTCAACACTTATCATTGCAAAACAGTGATTTGGGGCTGGTTACACAGCTTCGTTGCAACAGATCCTCCATGAATGTTGGTTCTGTAAGGTGGCTGGGGTCAATGAAGGTGGCGAACAGCAGGAGAGCTTGTCACGGGAGTCACAACAATAAAATGGTTCCAGAAGGGAGTGGTCTGCTGTATTGGGGGCTGCTAAGGGGTCAAGTAAGTGAGCCAAGGTCAAGCATTCTAGAAATCCAGGAGTTGGTCTTTGGTGGCTTGCTTTCCTTCACCTTCTGTCAAGAAATTTTGTTGTCCCCACCTGAACCCAGCCTCTCTTCTCCTTAGGCATTGCCAGCGTTCTACTCTAAGCCATCATCATGCCTTACCTGGACCCTTCCAGGAGCCTCTTTACTTGTCCCCTCCTACTTTGTTCACTGTAACCTAGTCCTAAGTAGCCATATCCATTGCCCACTGCTTCAACACCACAAGCGGTTTGCTTAATGCCTGTGATAAAATTGAAATGCCCCACCTGGTCTACAAAGTCCTGCCTCTTTAGCCTCATTTTGTTTCCTTTTGTCCCAACCCCCTACCTTCTAGCCACACGGGTTTTACTTTGGATTCTGGAATAGGCTAAAAACTCATTTCTACCTTAGGGCCTTTGCACAGGATATTGCTTTTGCTGGGGATGCTCTTCTCCTTTTACATTGCACGTCTGGCTCTGTATTATCATTCTGCATAAATGTTACCACCTCAGAGAGAGCTTCCTTGACCAGTGAATCTTAAGTCACCAACTCATTGCTACCATGTGATTTTACCTTCATCCTCAGCAGAGCCTTTACTCTTATTCATCTTTTGTTTCTCCTTACAAGTGTTTAGGTACTATATCTTTTCACAAGAATGGGAAAGCCTTGAACTCAGGGGCCTGGTCTGTCTGGGTCCCAGTAGAGTGCCCAACAGAGCCTGACACATGGCAGATGCTCAATCAATACATGATGATTGGGTGAAAATTCTAGAAGGATGTTCTCTTGGACCTTTTGCTTCTAAAGTGCATCTAGGGTACATGTAACCCAGGACTGAATGCAAAGTCCTCTGATACCTCCTCTTGACTATGGACTTAAGCAATTAAAATTAAGATGAGAGGTAGTTTTAATTAGATATAATACATTATAACCTAAAGGCCATCACAGATGCACCCACTTGGCCTAAAGGTGTTTTTCTTACTTAAGTAAGGTAGGTACAGAAAAAATAAGATTCACACAAAAATCTGGATTTCTAGTTTCTCTTGAAAAATTAGGAGACTGGTTGGCAGCTTCAATTCTACGATTCCCTTAGGGCAAGAATGTACTGGGGCTTAGTACCAGGGCCCACAGGGGCTCCAGACTGGCATGGTCAGGTGAGCCCACGGCAGTCACACCTGCTACCTGCCTGGCCAGGTAGAGCATTTGAATTTGAGTGCCTGTATTAAAATACTGATAGCTTTTATCTCTGGATGGTGGCTCAAAAACCAACTTGATTTTTTTTGTTGTTGTTCTCTCAGTCTGCCATTTTGAAATTTCTGCACTGAACATGTGTTACTTTATAACGAGGAAAAAAAATCAATAAACATTATTTTTATGAAAGGTTATACTATAGACTGGAAAGACAATTTGCATGAAATGCCCAGAGGAAATGAGACTCCTGAAATAAAGTTTTCATTTGCTATTTCCCCAGACACCCCACGGGCAGGAATTCACTCTCTTTTGCCTTTTGGGATAAGGGTCCTTTGTCCTGATTTCTTTGTAGGCGCATATCCATAAATATATCCACTTTGCCCACAGCAAGGCACAATGGTTCTATTATAATAAAAAATGAGGTAGAAGCCAAAGGATTCCAGGCCCCAGGCAACTTGATGGCTTGTTTAATCCCAAAACAAATACCAGGAGAAAATTTCAACAACCCTAAATAAATTGAGGATGTCTTTTGGAATTTCGTATGTTGTCATTTACCTCATAAATTCCATGAAGTCTGGGGCTAAAACTATTCTTGGAAAACATTCACCTCCCAGGCATCAGGCACTGCATTACCACAGGAATGCACGCAGTGGCTCCATGGACAAGGATTCTGTCCCAGACTAGCAGGAGGAGAAAAACTTGCAGATGACCTTGACCCCTGGTACCACAGCTACCAGCCAGGGGAGTGATGGAGGGAAGTCTGAGCTACTTTCAGCTTGGGGTGGACAGACTCTCAGGGGAGCCCCTGAATTGCTTTGCAGAGGATGTGGCACTGGAGCTGACCCTCAAAGACTACGGAAAGGGTGGGCTGCACGGGGAAGGGCACCGAGCAAAGGGAAACACAGTCAAGGAGCAGTCCATACCGCCCATTACGTTAGGGAGCATGAGCATGCAGCTCCCACACCAGGCTCACTGTTGACTGCTTGTGGCAGCTTCATGGTAATAACAACGGAGACATCCACACCGACATGCACACTTGCTGAGCACTTAGCATGTAAAATGTTGTTAAAACAGGGATGATAATAACAGTAATAGAGAACTCATAAGGCAGTGTTTGAAGATGGTCTCCATTAAAACTCACACCACTTTAGGCTACGAGGCTTATTATTATTGCACCCATTTTACAGATGAGGAAACTGAGGCACAGAGAGGTTAATGGCTTGTCCAAGGTCAACAGAGAGTAAATCCAGTCCTGGGTTCCCAACCCACCCCGGTCTCCCTTCAAACCAGACTAGAACTTGCTGGGAGAGGAGAGAGAAGTCTGAGGCTAGGAGGAGGAGAGAATGAATGGAAGCCAACTTGATGCAGCCTTGCAGATGCCCAGCCAGCTATGCACCGGGCACACACTGTGCCATGTTTTCAGGCTTTTAGGTAACAAAATGGTTTCTCTTCTTCTTCTTACATTCCCCAGGAGAGGGAAGAGTAGGGCAAGGAGGGACACTAGGGGAGGCCTCAGTGTAGACAGATAGTGGTTTAAAAAAAAAAAAGGTTTTCTCTTTGTAGTTCAAAGGGGGAGGTAGGATGAGGAGGAGAACAAGAAAGAGAAAGAGAGTGATTAGAGGCACTTCTGGGAATCCATCCTCAGGAAATAATCAGAAAAGGGAACGGAAAAAAAAAAGAGGCTTTCTGCACAAAGATAGTCATCAGAACATTATTTACAATGGTCCATTACTGACAATGCAACAGGAAAGGACTGGATTAGGCAAACTCTGGAATTTCTACTCAATGGAATCCTTGCGGGCATTAACGAGGATCATTATCATTAGGGAAGCCGCAGAGCAGCATGGGGAAGAGGGGGCTAATATCATAACGTCAAATGAAAAAGAAACAGGACTTCAAAATCTTATTGCAATTATGTAAATATCTGCAATGCACATTGCTGGTAGGGAAGAAAAGGCACACAAAATGACAGGGCTGGTTGGCTTAGGGAAGGCAGGAGGAGGGGATGATGGTGAATCATTCTCCTACTTCCTTCCCCCTCTTCTTTTCACATATTCTAGAACGCTCTCTCCTGAAGTGTCAACTGGTACCTGCTAGTGGTAGGTGAGATGATTCTAAGTGATACCCGAATGTCTTAAATCATAGGTCCACGTTTTAACATTTTTGGTTATATTTTTAAGTGTGCCAACAACAGTAGGGTTGTGTTTTAAGAAGGACTCTTTATTTTTCAGAGATAACATATTAAAATACTTATGGCTCAGATGCTATAAGTATGGGCCGTGCTTCATTCAAATTGATCTGGGAGGAGGGGTCAGCAGGCAAAAGCAAAGAGGAAAACGCCTTGGCCCCGTGCAAGAAATCGCTAGAGGTGGGTAATGGGGGCATGGGGCCACACTCTTCTATTTCGTATATACTTGACATTTTCTGTAAGAAAAATTAAACAAACAAAAGTTCTGTATTTTCACATCTAAGGCAAAGGCAAACACAACTACTTAATGTGGGGACATAAAGCTTCCTTATAAGAGACACAGAACTTAGCATCAAGAACAAGAGCACTGCCAGGAAATAATCAGGTAAACAGTAGACATGGTGATCTGAAAAAGTAGTAGTGTGATCGTGTCTTAGAGCAGATGAGATCTGGCCACTAGGATGGGTTTGGATGACTTTTTTTTTTTTAAAGATTTTATTTATTTATTCATGAGAGACACACACAGAGAGAGAGGCAGAGACAGGCAGAGGGAGAAGCAGGCTCCATGCAGGGAGTCCAATGCGGGACTGGATCCCAGGACCCCAGGGGATCACGACCTGAGCCAAAGGCTCAGTCCCAGTTCGGATGCCTTTGAGGTCAGCAGAGACAGGGAAAAGCGTGTGGATCCTGAAGAGGGTCCCCCCACCCCCTCCCACTGTCCCCCACTTCCACTCCGCAGGCTCACCTGCAGCTGTTCCCCGTCTCCACGTGCAGTGAGGACTCGGCCCTGCGGAGGCCCAGGCGGGCGAAAGAGTGATACAAGGTGAGCGCCACGTCGCTCAGGCTGTGGATGCCATCTGGCTCATCGTACACGTTCTCCCAGTAGGAGCGGAGGCCCGGGGTGCCCGCAGGGTAATTCCCGTACAGGTAGTAGTCCAGCTGCCCGATGATTTCCTGATTCACCACGGCTTCAAATTTTCGGGCAAAGAAGGTGGGCCTGGCTGTCTGCTGTGCTCAGGAGGATAAGAAGAGGAATGTCAACAAGCGGGGCAGGAGGAGGGGTCTGGGGAGCAGGGCTCTGCAGCCAGCCTGTCCGGATCCCAATCCCAGCTCCGACACTTCCTAAGCTCTCTGCCCTCAGTTTCCTTGTCTGTAAGCTGGAGGTAGTAAGAAGTGTGTCAGGACTGAATGGGTTAATATTTGTAGAGCATTTACAGCAATGGTGGGCACATAGTACACATCATTTAAATGTCTGGTAAATAAATTACCTCCCAGATGTTTGTGGCCGAGATGGATGGCAGAAATCATTTAGCTGGAGGTCCAGGGCAAATACAGCTTACAGATATATTCCAGTTGTCCAGCAGAGTGCTTTAAAATTGAATTAGCTGGCAACGTTTAAAAAGTACAAGAGTTCACAGCAACAACTTTTGGCTTCCCTTTAAACAGAAATAGACTTGGAACCCCAGGCCCGTGTTTCCACAAGGCAATGACTGGCCAGAGTTGAAGGGCAGCTGTCCCTTTAGAGGGGCATGGATCCCCCTGGTCACCTCAGTGCCCCCCGACTCGCACCCACCCCTGTTGCCTCCTGGGCACTGCCGCCGATTGGCAGACGCACAAGGAACCCAGATGTACTGTGAGAATCTCTGCCAGTGGGGTTCAGGAATCTGCATTCTTAGTGGGATTTGAGGGGATGCCTTCACTAAGGTTTGTAGAGGATATAACACCTGAACTGGGGTTGCACACCACCACCAACTGAATAGCTTTAAAAGTTGAAAGGTTCTGAAAAAAAAAAATCAGATTCTGGGGGCGACTGGGAGGCTCAGTCGGTTAAGCGTCTGACTCTTGACTTTGGCTCAGGTCGTGATCTCAGGGTGGTGAGATTGAGCCCTGTGTTGGGCTCTGCATTGAGTGCAGAGCCTGCTTTAAGAGGGTCTCTCTCTGGGATGCCTGGGTGGCTCAGCGGTTTAACGCTGCCTTCAGCTCAGGGCATGATCCTGGAGACCCGGGATCGAGTCCCGCATCGGGCTCCCTGCATGGAACCTGCTTCTCCCTCTGCCTGTGTCTCTGCCTCTCTCTCTCTCTCTCTCTCTCTCCTCTCATGAATAAATAATAAAAATCTTTAAAAAAAGAAAAGAGGGTCTCTCTCCTCCTCCCTCTGCCCCTCCCCCACTCCTCTCTGGGTGGCGGGGGGAAAGATTCAGATTCTGGAGTCCTCCCCCAGAACTACGGAGTCAACATCTCTGAGATGTGAGTTTTAGGAATCTGCGTCCAAAAAAAGTTTCCCAGGTGATCATGATGCAGTGGAAGACCACTTACATCAACCAAGTTTTCAAGGAAATGGAGGCCCAGAGAGGGAAAGGGACTTATCTAAGGTCACACAGCAAGGAAATGGCAGAGTCAGGATGAAGAAATAATATTCTGAGCGCCCTGTTATGTACCAAGTCTTATACTCATGCCTGGGTGGGGACCTGCAAAGGGCTGCATAATAGTAATTTCCAGCTCTGCAACTACTCGGCTAGGCTGTGGTGATGTGAAAGCAGCCACGTAGTAGATGCAGCCGTGGTAAAAGAACGGCTGTGGCTGTTTTCCAAAAACCTTTATTTACAAAAGCGGGCAGGGGCCTGGATTTGGCCCAGGGGCAGTAGTTTGTGGACCTCTGGTCCAGGGCTACAGAAACAACTGGAAGCACAGCCCCTCCCGTCTAGTGTGATTACTGACCTTAAGCTGGGTCTGGCACTGTTTCCACTGCAGTGGATTAACAGCAGCGCTAATGACAGTAAAAACCACTGAGCACGTATTCTCAGCTTAGCACTGCGTTCATGTCACCACCTCGAATTCTTCCATCAACTCTGCAAAGCAGACATTATGACTCTCGTTTTACATATAAGGGAACCGAGCTCAGGAAGGGGAAGTGATGTATATGCACTCACACATCTGCAGGATTCGAACCCAGCTCAGATGACTCTCAAGCCCAGTCTCTTTCTACTGCATCATTTTAGAACTGAACTGCTGAGTAAACGGGAAGCCCCCGAAAACAAACATCCTTGGTATCATTCTGAATACTCTCTAGCTTCCCTGCTTCATGAACCCTGTGGTGGTTTATGGATAACATTTAATAATATTCTGGCCCTCTCTGTGGTCAAAGGTCAGTTTGGTTCCCTTATGGCACCGCTGAAGAGTCAGACTACTTGAGTTCAAATCCTGACTCTGCTACTTTCTAGCTACGTAGGTCTTTGGGCAAATTACCCAAGGCCTCAGCTTCCTCATCCTTAAAATGGGTATAATAATATAGGTACTTATCAGAGAGCCTGGCACATAGTGTCATCTGCTATTGTTAGGTGACTATTGTCATTACCCCCTGAAGCCTGCAACAAGGGGCTTCTAGAACTAGACTCAGGGGCCAGGCAGTCTTTCTCTGCTTGTGATTCTTTATTCGCAGCTGGATCTTCCAAAAGGGCATGTTTCTATATTTACCACACTTCTTCGAACAAGAACTCTGAGTTCCCGACAGACAGCAGTTTCTTGAGTCTAGATGTTGGGGGATGTTCTTGATCTTTGTTTACTGTGAAAGGAATAGCTGTGAGCACGTGCGAGGTCTCTATGTTAGCCTGTCTCTACCAGAGGCCACGATGTCCCTGGGAGACTTGGGGCTGCAATGCAAAGGCTGCCACCCAAAGGAGCAGCCCGCGAGGGGCAGCGCTCCCAAGAACTGCCACGGCTACTTGCTCTAAATGATGAAGGTCCTTTGCATCGAGGGTAACAGTTGGTCCTCTGCAAAAGTGGGAATCTTTCCCGTTTTTCCTTTTGAATAGGTCATATATTCCCCCTGAAGCCCTCTTTCTGCTCAGCAGATCCTTTCTGCATGGACAAAGGAGTTAAATGTCGCCCAAGTTCATACCTAAATTAACATGGCTTTGAGGAGGTCCCTGGGTAGCTCTTAATCTGCCACCAAACACAGGCCTGAAAAAATACTTATTGCAGCAACCGCCTACAGGGGTGAAAGACGTTAGGCGGGCACCTTGAGGGAACCTGAATAACGAGATGAAATCCATGGTGTGCTCTGCACCTGTGTAGGCACAAAACCAGGGTGGCAGTGGGGCCTGGCAGAAAAAGCCCAGGTCTGCAACTGGAAGCACCTGGGAGGGACCCCCAGGCCCTAACACCCCACTGTGTGTCCACAGACAAGAAGGTTAGCTGCTCTGTGCCTCAGTTTCCCCACCTGCACAATGGAGATGATGCCTGCCCCAGGGAAGCCGACACCCACAGAGGGCCCCGCAGAGAGCCTGGGATGGAACTGATCCCTACCCTTGTGCTTCTTAAACATAAATAGGCTCCCCGTCACCTGGGGAATCTTATTTCTATGCAGATTCTGACCCAGCACGTCTGGAACAGCTGAGAGTCTGTACTTCTAATAAGCTCCCTGGTGATGCTGATGCTGACGGTCTGTGGACCGCACGCTAAGGAGCCAGGCTAAGAGACTGGAGGCTCCATTTGGGCAGCCCATGCCCTCCCCTGGACAGTTTTGTTATGTGCCAGGGTGAGTCCAAGGGGGGCACCTTAGCCTAGGTTATTGACCTGCACTGCTGCTCCCACCCACCCTCTAGGTTAGTGGCTGGGGAGGAAGCAAACCGTCTCCACATGGTGGCTCTAGTGACCTCAGAGTGATGTATTTAACCACCTTGTGGCACCGCCTGTGATCTCGGCAGTAGGGTCCAGGGCACAGTGAGGGGGAGAGAGGAAGATTCCTAGGCCGCTGGCCGAGAAGGAACAGGAGGGGTGCTCACACCTCAACAGGTCTGGGAACCCAGGCATCCTTGGGGCTCATGGAAGCAGAGGGAGCACTGCTTGCCCCTTGCCTCTGTTCTCCCCAGAACCGTGACCTGCTAGGCGGTGCAGAGATGCTTCTCCCACTCCTCTCTCTGGGGCGGAGAGGAGATCCAGATTTCCTCCCTTCCTTCCTCCTTTAGGTTCACCAAGCATGGTCTTCCAGACCTGGCAGCTCCTCAGAATTTTCCAGAGTGTGGCATGCTAAAATAAAAGTCCTGGACCTCGCCAGAGAGGGAAAGTTTGCCCCCCCAAGGACATCTGGCGATGTCTGAAGACATTTCTGGCTGTCATGATGGGAGTGTGACACCAGAGTGAGAGGCCGGAACCCAGGGGTGCTGCTGAACCGCCAACGATGGGCAGGACAGCACCTACCCCCTCCACCCACAGCAGGGAATGACCCAGCCACAATGTTAAGAGTGCTGAGGTGGAGAAACTCTGCTCTAGGTATGCTCAACTTTGCACCCAGAAATATATTTTTAACACATACTTCAGGGGATTTCTTGAAAGGCAGTACAGGGACACCTGGGTGGCTCAGTGGTTGAGCATCTCCCTTCAGCTCAGGGTGTGATCCTGAGGTCCTGGGACTGAGTCCCACATTGGGCTGCCCGCAGGAAGTCTGTTTCTCCCTCTGCCTGTCTCTGCCTCTCTGTGTGTCTAATATAAAAAAAATCCCCCCCCCAAAAAAATAAAGGCAATACAGAGAAATGGACATAGAAACATACACTGGCCTGTTTTTGACCTTTCTATGCCTCAGTTTCTCTATCTCTAAAACAGAATAACAGTAATACTATCCCTATGTGCTTATCTATCTTATAAGGTTGATGTGCGGGGAGGGGGTGCGCAGCTCATGAGTTAATACAGGGAAAATGGCCAGAATCCTTCTGGCATATGGGGAAAATGGCCAATGAATGGTGGCCGCTGCTCATGTTGTCACTGTCACTACTGGAGCCAGGGTTGCCAAATGCAGGACAAGATTCTTCGGCCGGCATCTGAGGCCGGGCGGGCTCACCTGGAAGCGGTGGAAGTCCTGCGGCTTGAAGTCGTTGGGCGAGCAGCCGCACCAGTCCACGATGTGCTTGTACTGGCACTTGCAGCCCAGCTTCCGGTTCCAGTTGGTGATGCGCAGGTTGTTGTCTACCATGGTGTCGCAGTGGGGGCTGTTCTCCAGGACTGTGTGGAAGAAGGACTGCAGGGGAGAGAGGGACCGGCCTGAGACCTCCTCCAGCCTCCCTCCCCCGAACCCCGTGACTGTGCGGGAACTCTCTCAGAGACTCCTTGGTTCCCTCTGCAAAGGGAGGTCGGCCGCCAGTCCTGGTCCAGCTCAGGGCACACGGGAGGTTTTGTCCAGAGAGGCTTAATTCTGCTTGGAAGTCTAATGCCCTGAGCGTTTCTCTAAATTGTCTTTCCCCAGCAGTCTACAATCTGATCTCAAGATGTTTCCTATCACTCAGGACATCTTCTGTCTGCCTGGCAGAGAGGAAAAAATCCCTCAGGTTATGTCAACACATGGGAACCAGAGGAAATGTGACAGTTTTCCAGAAAACCCTGGGCCAGAAGGGCAAGTGCTTTGCAAAATGGCCAGATCGGAAAGCAAAGGGATTCCAGTCTGAGGTAGCTTGAGAACGAAGACTGATGCTCTGGAATTTCACCCCTGGCTAAAGGAAGCCAGGTTCCCGGATGTACCCGTCCCAGGGCTGACCCGTGTTCCTGGCACCCCTCCTGCCTCAGCTATGGGAGCCAGAGGATAACGCAGGGAGGGGTGGGCTGGGGCTGCGCGCTGTCCGTGGTGCTGAACCGGGCTCCATCGGTCTCTGCTAATCCTAAAACTCTTGACCTGCCTCTCCTAGGAATCTGAGAAAGCAGCAATGCTGAGAGTGGAGACAGAGCCCAGAGAGGCGAGATATGGTTACCGCTTCTGAAAGACTTCCAGAGAGAGACAGACAGATAGACTTCTATTTGGACACTGTTTTATAACAACCCCAGATACCAGGCAGATACATGCTCCCCTGCTATCTGCTCCCTAGGGGAAGCTGTTAGGGGATACATGGTCTTTCTGCAACGAATTTATGGCTCAGCCTTTAGATTTATTCTTTTTTTTGCATATTTTTTATTGGAGTTCGATTTGCCGACATATAACACCCAGTGCTCATCCCATCAAGTGCCCCCCTCAGTGCCTGTCACCCAGTCACCCCATCCCCTGCCTGCCTCCCCTTCCACTATCCCTTTTTGGTTTCCCAGAGTCTCTCATGTTATGTCACCCTCACTGATATTTTCACTCGTTTTCTCTCCTTTCCCTTTTAATCCCTTTCACTATTTTTTATATTCCCCGAATGAATGAGAACATACACTGTTTGTCCTTCTCCGATTGACTTACTTTACTCAGCATAATACCCTCCAGTTCCATCCACGTCGAAGCAAATGGTGGGTATTTGTCATTTCTAATGGCTGAGTAATATTCCATTGTATATATAGACCACATCTTCTTTAGATTTATTCTAAAGTGGTTTCCTGGTGGCAGTCTGGGGAAAGGGAGGGCAAGGCAGGGCTGTGAAGTGTAAAGTGCCTGTGTGTACTGGGGCAGGGGTGAGGAACACATACCAACATCAGTATGGGCATCTTGATTAAAACAACCAGGGCCCCCAAAAAAGTCTCATCTCAGTGGGTAGATGGGCAAAACGAGTCCCCACCCACCACCCCAGCTGCTCTTTCTGGCTGCTAAATGACATATGCCCATGAACCTGGATTTTAAGCTTGAATTGTCTACAAGCCCATAGAAGCACATATTCTCCATCAAGCAGCGGGGAAAAATTCCCAATTACCAATTGCCCTGTGTCCTTTCATAATGATACAGAAATTCCTCGTAAGATAACGGATGAGGAGGTTATCAGCATTGAGAGAAAAGGTGATTTTCGCTGAAATAGGATTAGAAGCTGATTACCTAATGTGTGTGCAGAATAGTAAAACCTGGCACGGTAATGAGAAGCCCATCATCCTTCTGGAGTGACATGGGCAGTCAGCCCTATCAGCTTGGCACTGCCCCAGATGCTGGTGAGGGATGCGGGAGCCATCAAATGGGGTATGTTTTCTGGTCTGGCCTAGAAACACAGCCTGGGCCTGGGGTACCGCCAGGAAGAAATGGTAGCAGATCACTCACGAGAGGTGTCCTGGGCTCTAGAGAAGTGGAACACTTCTGGAGTTCTGTGAGATCAGAAATTAGGATGAAAGTGACTGGGAGGGGAGGGAGCTGAATGCAGAACCCCTCAGTGCAGGTCTGAGAAGAAGGGTCATGGCTCGTAGTGGCAACATTTCAGAACTGAGTCCCCATCCACTTCCAGATGGAGCCTGGTATGGTTTCAGAGCGGTCTGCAACCTTACGCAGCTGGGCTTCTGCGATGGACTGCATGTTTGTGTCTCCTCCAAAATTTGTAGGTTGAAATCCTAGCCCCTCAGTGTGATGGTGTTGGGAGGTGGGGGTCTTTGGGATGTCATTAGACTAGGAGGGTGGAACCCTCATGAATAGGATTAGTGCCCTGACAAAAGGGGATCCACCTTGTTCCCTCTAGCATGCGAGCGCAAGAATGGTCGCTATGCAATCTGCAGCCTGGAAGAGGACAGGACCCTCACTAGAACCCAACCATTCTCGCACTCAGATCTCAGGCTCCCAGCCTTCAGAACTGTGGGAAGTACATTTTTATTGTTTATAACCCACCTAATCTGTTGTGCTTTGTTATAGCTGTCTCAACTAAGATACCTTCCCCATACTGAGGCCTGAAAAGTGAGACACAGCCTCCCTGGAGCTTTTTAAATGCTCCTAAAAGCCATCAGGAAATGAGTCCCAGGGGCTGTCAGTGTGGGGGCTGGTACAGGTCCAGCAGAAGCCCTGGCTCTCTGTCTTTGGGATCATTGGAATTTCCATTGTGAATGAGGTGGCCAACACTGCTGCCTGTCAGGGAATGATAGAAAAATACTCAAAATTAGGAAAGGTATTCTTCATGCTGAAAAAGTAGTTATTACAGGATTGGTGACCGTGTAAGATCTGTCAAACATTGCTGTGGGTAGGTCCTGAAAAGGCCAGCATATACAGTTGCAAGGGTTACACACTGCACAATCCTGGTGGGGTACCATCAACATGGTAGGTATGAGAGGTTTCTGTTTTTTTTTTTAAATAAAAGTTTTCTGGAAAATGGCAGTGAAGTGTCCTGTTCTAACAAAATCAGTATATCATGATGATTTTTATGACCAATGGGAGCCAAGTGTTTTGAGGAAGGACTGTCTTTTCTACTTTGCACAAAGATGCCGTGTGGACTGCAAGTGGCAGTGTCATGTGTCTGTCTATTCCATACACCCTCCATGCAGACTACAGGGGGACTGCGGGCCTGCCGTGACAGCAAGGGCCCTGGTGGCCAATGTAGTTCTCCATCTTCATCTGGATGGGTAGAAGGCTACATACTGGACTCAGCACCACTGTGCCAAACCTTCAGCAAGAATTCAACTTCTGCTTTTGCTCTGAACGCTAGAGCCAGCTCTCACCCTGCTCGGGGACTTTTTCCTAGACACTCACCTCAGCAGGAAGTAGGGTGTAGGAGTAAAACTGCTTCATCTTGGTCACCAGATCATCTGTGGAGAATGTCACATACTCCACAAACTTCCGGTTCAGCAGGAACCAATCTGAGCCTCCATCCACAGCGATGCCCTCTGGGATTCGCCGGTCCCCCAGGCGCCACATGTGGGCGTCACACTCCAGGAAGAGCCGGTCCAGACCCTGCTTTCGGATGAACCTGGGAGAGACAAGGTTGCCCTTAGCCCAAAGGTGCACAGAATCCAAATGAAATAGCACAATCACGGCAATAAAAGCATGTATTGGGCGCTTACTGTGTGCCAGGTATTGAGCCTGGGCAGGCTCTGTGTGTAGTTTGTCACTTGATCTTCAGAAGTGAGGCAGGTCACTATATCCCTGTGAGGCGGGCGCTGCCATTATGTCCATTATGTAGCTGAGGACCCTAAAGCTTAGAGTGTTCAGCCCAAGTAGACGGGAATGATCACGTGCTATATCTATTTCCTCCTTTACAGGACTTTTGGAAATTACCTTTTCATGCCATGAATGCCTTGGCAGTTTGGTGAATACAGCCTCTGGATGCTTGTCTCAGAATAATGCTCTTAAAGGCATACCTCCAAGTATGTAGGATTACAAAATATCTTTTAAACCACTGAAGTTATGATCTAGGAATTTGTGTGCTTTTTTTATTCTCACGCATTTGGCTCACACATCATATTCACAAAATATTTTTTTAAACATCAAATTTATGATAATTATGTGCGTTTTCTTTAAACACATAAGATAATATGATCTTGTGGCAGGTCTAATAACTACTGTAATTTTAAAGAAGAGGTGAGCATAAATGATACTTAGAGGTATATGCATTAACCAAAATGTGATACGAAAATTTGTGATTCCTAACAGTTACTGCTCATACTGTTGTGGTATGTTATGTACACTTAGCTGGATTTTAATTAGACTTTAGTGAAAACGAAGATAATTTTCTTCCCAGCTATAGTTATGGAACCCTTGAATTCTATCCACGAACCCCAGATTAATAACTCCTGCTCTAGAGAGAGTGTGTGTATATATAAATACATACATACACACATATGTATACATGCATATTTGGGATTTGTAAGGCAGGCAGAGCAGAATTGGCACTTCCTATTTTGTAGATGCAGAAACCAGAGATCAAAGAGCTGGTAAAACGGAAGTGTTGGGAGGGTGGGCATATCTAGGACCAAACCTTCTGGCCTGAATCCTTAAGTTCCTCTGCAGTTAGTATTAATTTCATACCTGAGGCCCCTGGGTGGCTCAGTGGTTAAGCATTTGCCTTTGGTTCAGGTAGTGATCCCGGGATCCTGGGATCAAATCCCACATCAAGTTCCCCGTGGGGAGCCCGCTTCTCCCTTTGCCTGTGTCTCTGCCTTTCTCCCTCTCCCTCCCTCCCTCCCTCTCTCTCTCTCTCTCTCTCTCTCTCTCTCTCATGAATAAATAAAAATCTTTAAAAATTTTTTCATACCTACTGTGCGCCAGGCACTGTGCTGGCCTGGGGTGGGGCAGGGACATGGAAGGATGCTCCTGCTAGTCAGAAGCTACTTAACTCTCTGGGAAACAAGAGTCTAGAGATCTGACCCAGGGATCTTGCTACTTCTCCAGCTCATACAACATAAAATCAACTATTTTAAAGTGTACAATTCAATGGCCTTTGTACATTTGTGATGCTGTACAATTGGCACCTTTATATAGTTTCAAAATATTTAAGTACCCCCAATAATCAGTCACTCCCTTCATCCCTCTGTCTTCTGGCCCCTGGGTAACCACCAATCTGCTTTCTGTATCTATGGATTTACTTATTCTGGACATTTCATGTAGAGTCAATCATACAGTATGTGGCCTCTTGGGGTTTGGCTTCCTCCACTGAGCATGTTTTCAAGGCTTCATCCTGTGTTTCTGTCAACCCAGCATCCACTCCTCATTTTTCTGGGAACCACACCATGATTGTTCCTTGGACAGTTATCTATCTTCAACTCTCTTAACTTGGATTTGCATCCTACACCCATCATCAGGGGCAGCAACATGATCAGGCTGGTCAGTCAGAGTATTTCATCTGCCCGGCTGCCATCATTGGTTCAGGGATCGATGTGTAACTGAAGGTAAATCTGAGATTGGGCCTTGGATTTCTTTTTGCTGGATCTACCAGGAAGGAGAGCTCTTCCATGGCATTTTTGCTTGGAGAATGTAAGCCTAGAGCTGCTGGCAGTCATCCTGCCACCATGAGTATTAAAGTTGTTTGATAGTGGAGGTAAACAGAAAGGAAGGAGGGAGAGAGGGGGAAAGGTGGAGGGGGGAGATGTGGAGAGAGAGAGAAAGGGAGGGAGAGAGAGGTATTAAGTCTCCATGACTTTGCTTGAGACCCTGGATCCCAGTGTCTGACTCAACACCAGACTCATCAGTAATGTGCTTAGGGCGTTCTGAGGTGGAATTCCGTGACTTACAGTTGAAGAAGTCCTGACTAACAGATTCCTCAACAATTTAACCTTTTAGCAGTACCAGGATGGATGTGAATGTTCTCAGGCCCAGATAGAGCAGGGAGTCATGGCTGTGACACATAAATAGCCCTTTTCCTCTAAGCCAGTCTGCATCCCTCATCATGTATCTGGAGGTCTTTGCACCTCCCATGGCAGACCTCATCACTGTCTTCAGATTACAGCTACCTATCTTCCCCTAGGTAGACACTTCTCTCATTAGAAATGACCTTGGATTTCTCTCTCTGTTTTCCTCACAGTTCCTAGGACAATGCAAGGCTCAGGAAAGGTCGAGTTTTTAAAACGACTTTTCCTTCTTATTTGAGAGAGAGAGAGAGAGAGAGAGAGAGAGAGAGCGCAAGGAGAGGAAGGAACAAAGGAAGAGGGAGGGAGAGACTCTTAAGCAGACTCTGCTGAGCCTGGAGCCCGACATGGGGCTCGATCTCATGACTTGACCTAAAACCAAGAGTTGTGCACTTAACCAACTAAGCCACCCATGTGCCTCTCAGGAAAGATCTATTGTGATGGCCACATTACAGGGTACAAAATCTGGAGACAGTTCCACTGTGTTAGACATGCTGAACTCTATAGAGAATCCCTTCTGCTGGCCCTTCCCAAATCCACTTGCATCCATTGGAGGGAACTGCATGAAATCTCACTAATAAGTCCATCTCCCCAGTACTTTCTTCTGCGTAAGCAGGGGACCTGCCCCCAGACACTGGTCACTCATTGAGCACAATGATGTCATACACTGGATTCTTAAAAGAACTGAGGACAGTGTCATAAAAACACTGATGATGGTGCCAGACTTAGTTCTGCTGAAAAGTGCTTTTCATTTTCATTGTGATGTGGCTCTACCAGTAATCAGCTGAGGGACTTTGGGAAGGGATATCCTTGAGTCTTGGTCTCACCCTTGGTAAAATGATAAAGTTGGGCTAGGTGTTGATTGTAAACTTAAATGTCTACAGGGGTCAGATGGATAATGGAAATGTCTGAACCAGGCTGAGTATAAGACAAAGGTGCAGTCAGCAAAGAAGTAGAGAAAGCATTTTTTGAAAAGCATTCAAATTCCTTTAAAAAAAAAAGGTATTTGTCTAAATAAAACATATCCCTAGCCTGAATCCAGCTCATGGGCCACTAGTCTTAATAACCATGGGTTAGGTAACTGTCAGGCATTTTCCAGCTGTGACATTCTGTAAGTCACTCTGTTATAAAAAAGAGGGTGTAGGGCAGGAATTCCAGACAGATACCTGGGATCCTGGAGAAGGCTGATGACTTTTCTGAGGACACACAGAAGACACAAGCCAACCAGGAGACCCAGGTATCCAAAGATCCTGGTCTTATTCTTTCCCTAACATGTTCCCGAGGGCAAAATCCAAGCTGTTAGCAAAGCCATGTTCTCTCTGGGAGTGATTTGTTGAAGGGTTTTCAATATACTTACCGTATCATACCAGTGATACAAAACTCTGCCCTAAAACTAGTCCGTTAAAGGGACCCCAAGTTTAAAGAAAATAAAATCCTACCTCAGCCCTGGCTGGTACTAATTATATGATAATATCCAATCGCAGACACTTAACTAGACTTAGAACTTTAAGTTTTAGTTAACTTACATGGTAACCAAGACTAACCCAGAGAGAGAAAGAAAAGAAATATAGGTGTGAGGACATGCAAAAGTTTTCCTTCCAAAGACCAGCCTTTTAATTTCATGTTCCATTATGTGGGAGAATAGCATCATCTTGCAATTTTAATGTGATGCCCCAGACCATAATATCCAAATACAATATTTATGCAGTAATCTCCAAAATGAAAAATTCATGGGGTGGGAGATTGGTTGCTCTATTTACTGCTTTTGAAAACTGATAAGCTGCAAATGCATGCTGTGGTTAATTATGAGTAAACAGAGACAAACAATCCCCCAGGTCTCGGTTCCTGGGTTCAGAGGGGTTGTGGAATAGGAGAAGGTGGCTGAGGCCCAGAGTCTCGGGATCTAGCAGGGGAAAGGAATCAGCTGCTTGGCCAGTGATCTGTGCTTTGTTTTCTGCCCAGTGCATTTGCCAATCACTTGGAAAGGGGATGGCTGGAAATCAAGGTAAATCAGCAAACACATGGGTGTGTCTCTTCAATGCCAGCTCAGCAGTCAAGGGTGGAGTGCAGATTTATTGGAGCACTGGGCCCAATACACAGAGGGTGACCAATGACACTCTCCTCTCTAGTTTCATTTCCAGATAACTTGGTTGTGCAGGGGCACTGGAGTCAACAGGTGGGATTAAGGGCCAGACAGAAAGAGGACCTGGGTATGTAGGCTGCCTCTGCTTTCAAAGACTGTGAGATATGGGGTTGCCTGGACTCTCTGAATGCCAGGTTCCTCATCGATAGGATGAGCTCCATGACAGCTGTGCTGACAACCTCCTGAATCCACTGTGCAAGTGTGACAGAAGAGGTTTATACAAAGGTCCTTGCTGAGTGTCCAGGAAGCACTGCTCAGCCCAGCAATGGACCAATAATCAGTTCCTTCTTGCACAGTGATGGCACCCTCCCCATATCCTCACATCCCTGACCACCCTGTCGTGCTTTGTTTTCCTTCACAGCATTTAGAACTTTGTATCACCATATATGAGGTATTTATTTAGTTTACTGTTTCCTTTTTAGATGCAAGACAAGAGAGTAGAGGGGTTTTCTGTTTTTGTTTGTTTGTTTTTTTTGCCTATTT